GTACCTCACGGTTGCTGATACGCAGCGTGGTGGGGTTGAGGGTTGAGGAGGTACGAGGGGTGAGCGGGCGTTCGTAGTGTATAGGTGCAGGCCTGGCCACGCATTTCAACTGTTTCCATCGAGCGTTCTGCGTGTCGCTGGTTGCCCCTGTGTCTTCATGGCCTCGCGCGCATTGGACCTGTACAGCAGGACGATGCCGCCCCTGACGTGGTGTCTGCACTTTTCGCCCCCTGGGCTCAGTCTACCTCCCTGGGCCCAGGACTGCCCCTGCAATTAGGGTTAAGTCGGGCGCGTCCCCCTACAGGGGGATTTTCGATGAAAAATAAAACAATATCCAAAGAATGTTCCAAAATGGTACAACAATGATCTTCAAAATAGTCCCCCGGCTATTTTTCTTTACCATTTTTGAATATTCCCCCTGGCCCGACTTAAAATTAGGGGCCAGCAGTGGGCCCCCTCTCCCTTGGGATTCCCCCGCCGCCTATTTCCCGCCTCTCTCCCCTTCAAAGGTCGAGCACGTGTGCGCCTTCCGCCTCCGGCATCTCACGACTGCGGACTCTCATGGTGGCGGGGCCGTGGGCAATGGTTGGCGATGGGAGGGGTCTTCATATCTTCCAATCTGGCCGATATGTTCTAATTGGGCGTGGCGCGCCACGGGTCCAGCGCACACTCGACGACAGGAAGGAACAGTGAGGAGAGGCAGCGCCGCCCGCGGCCGGCTGGGAGCAGCGGGGAGGGGGAGGAGGAGGAGGAGGAGGAGGAGGAGGAGGAGGAGGAGGAGGAGGAGGAGGAGGACGAGGAGGAGGAGGAGGAGGAGGAGGAGGAGGAGAAGAGGAGGAGGAGGAGGAGGAGAGGAGGAGGAGAGGGGAGGAGGAGGAGAGGAGGCGAGGAGAGGGGAGGAGAAGGAGGAGGAGGAGGAGGAGGAGGAGGAGGAGGAGGAGGAGGAGGGTCTTGCAGTCTCTGGAGGTGCCTCGCTTCCCCCTCTCTCGGCCTTCCGCCCTCGCCCGCGCGGCTGCGCGGAGGCCGTCGCGCCCTCCGCGCAGCCGCAGCGGGAAGGGGGCGGGGCGGCTTGCGGGGGAGGGGCTGAGCTTGGCCCTGTGGAGCTTGGCCCTGTGGCCCCGTCGCTCGGACGTCCATTCCCTGTGCATTGTTTCGGTTCCGTGCGTGGCTCCTTCGCAGGATGATCCAGGATGCTCCTTAATACTAATCCCCGCCGAGCCAAAAAAAAACACGTCCGAGCGATACCAAGTCCTGTCGTGGGCATATTGGCGCGTAAGTTCTCTTCGACTACACGCAGGAGTGACCCTGGGTAAGAGTGACCTCTGGTGCGCGGCTCTTTGGGACCGCGGGGGGGCCAAATGCAAGCGTGCAAGCCGCTGCTACCGCATCGCGTTCGGCGATCGGGAAGCCCCCCTGGGCCCGCACCAAAGGTCACTCCGGCGAAAGGTCACTCTTACGTGAAATCGATCTCGTCTCCTTTGCGCGTTTTCGTATTCTCCGTCCCTCCGGCTCATGTTCGGGGGGCAAGGTGGGTCTGGACTGGCGGTCGCCCTGGTTCGGGCAAGTGCTGTGGCCGCCTCTCGTCTCCGCGCTGCCGGTGCCCAGTTCCTGTGGGAGTTGGGTGTGAAGGCGGGCTCCTAAGATGTTGCCTTCCTCTCGCCCCCACCCCGTGTCCTCGCTTTCCTCTCCTCCTCCTGCCCCCACCGCCCACGTCGCGCCCGCCCCTGGGCCCACGTGGTGCACGAGGTCGCTGTCTTGGGCGACTTCGTTGGGCGGGGGGGAGGCGGGAGGGACCCCGCTGCTCAGACGAGCTCTCTGCTCGCTGCTGTTTCTGCATGTCACGATCGCCTCCGTCTCGGAGATGGTCTCGGGGCTTGGATCCCTGAGCTTCTCCTGGCCCCTATAAGAGGGGCAGTCTCGACCGCCAGGCTCAGATGGGCTCGGCGCTCGCCTGGCAGTAAGGGCTTGAGCCCTCTTTCGTGGACAACCGATCCCATCCGGTCTTGCTCCCCTTTCTTTACCGCCTCCTCCTCCTGCTCCTCCTGCCGCACACCCGGCTGCTACTCATCGCTCTCATCCTCGTCCGTACATTTTGTGGTCAATGTCCCCCTCGTCGAACCATTTCTCGGGATTGTGAGGTGGATCGGGTGCTTCGGCATAGACTTCCGAACAATTATGCCGCGTCTACAGCTTGAGCATTACACTTGTCACGCTTTTGGAAGGCGGGTACCTTTGAAAATCGTGCCCTGTCTGGGACGGTACCACATGTCGCAATCCTGGAGTTTAGGTTTCCCCAAGCTTGCGCGGATTACTGCGGATCCGTTTCGTATTTTCGCTCTCGCATGGGATTTAACAACGGGCTCGAATCGCAGTTTCGGAATGCCCAACAACTTCAATTAAGAACGCTCACTGGAAGCTCTCGAACACGGACGGAGGGCATGTCGTTTTGGAACTTGCGTTCTCGGTTGGGAGCATTTCACGTTGCAGAGTCACGATGCGAACTTACTGTGGTCTGTTCGTTGCTAGAACCGCAATCTCGCCTGAAACCTCCCGGCAACTTTCAGATCCAAACGGCTGCACTTTTTTTAAGGGATGAGTAGCTTGTGTTTTTGTTATTTTGTTGTTTCCCCCCCAATCAGAGCTTGCCTCTACATGGGTCCTGGCGAATTCATATGGTTTTGGTGAATTGTGTCACCGATTTCCGCGGCCCGCCCGGGTGCCGGGGTGCCCAGGTGCCCGGGTGCCAAGGTACCTGGGTGCTTTATAGCCCTATAGCCACATAGCCCTGTAGCTGTATAGCCCTGTAGCCCTATAGCCCAATAGCCCGATAGCCATATCGCCCTATAGACTCTATAGCCCGATAGCCCTATAGCCCAGAGCCCTATAGCTCTATAGCCCTATAGCTCTATAGCTCTATAGCCCTATAGCGCTATAACCTTATAGCATCATCGCCCAATAGCCCTATAGCCCCATAGCCCAATAGCCATATCGCCCTGTATCCCTTTAGCCCTATCGCCTTATAGCCTTATAGCCCTGTAACCCTATAGACCGATAGCTCTAGATCTGCCTATAGACCTATGGCCCCATAGCACTATATCCCTATAGCCCTATGGTCCTTTAGCCTCATAGCCCTATATGTTCATAGCCCTATGGCCCTAGAGCCCCATAGCCCCAGAGTCCTATAGCCCTACAGCCCTTTAGCTCAGTGGCCCTATCGCCCTATAGCCCTATAACCCTATAGACCTATAGCCCTTTGGCCATTTAGGCCTATAGTGCCATGGCCCTATAGCCCCAGAGTCCCATCGCCCTATAGCTCAATAGTCCTGTAGCCCCAAAAGCACTTGGATTGGGGCTTTTTCTCCGGTACCATCTTTAAATTATAAACAATACATATATACACACAACATACTCATATATACACACACACACCAATTCGTGAATTCACTTGGGGCGTATACCCCTAACAACCTATGGTCTTACACATTGCAGATGTTCCTCAAATCTCCCGCGTGGTCGCCCCACATGGTCTCCCGCATGGCCTCGCGTATGGCCTGTCCTGCCTGTTCTCCCGATGTGGTCTCCCGCATGCTCTCCAGCATGGCCTCCCGCGTGGTCTCCCGCATGGTCTCCTGTCTTGTCTCCCGTGTGGTCCCCGGTGTGGTCTCCCGTGTCGTGTTCTGTGCGATCCCCCGCATGCGCAATGCCGCATTCTGCTCTCATTAGGGAGCCCACAAAGGACGTACGCGCCCAGCTATGTACATGAACACGGCCCCTCGATCCGCGAGACCGGCCGCGTTATACGAACATTTGCGCAATGCGTACTCTCGAAACCAGCGTGGATTCACGTACATGTACGTCCTTTTGTCGCTCCTGACTCATGAGCTCCAGGACGATCTCCGAAACGGAGAAGCTGCAGGGGCAAGCATCGGCGGTGGGCAAGCCTCCCTTTAGTAAGCCACCCTTTAGTGGAAACGGCCCGGGACCGAAACCGACGGACCTGGAGCCGCAAAAATGACGGCCGCGACGGCCTCTCGCGAAGTTGTTCGCCAATCGACGTGACAGGGTAGGAGGTCTGCCCACCCCCGAGAGTAAGAGGTCCCAATCCCACCAGGAGGCAACAACGACTCTAGCTTCAAGAATGCGAACCAATGTGCTGCCCGCGCTGCGCGGCGTGCCGTGCCAGCGTGGCGTGCCGTGCCTCCGTTCTGAGATGTGGGGGCAAGGCGCCGCCGCATGCCGTGCCAATGCCGCGCCTGCAGCGCAGACTGCAAGAATGCGCCCCCCTGCATCTCGTGCCGGGCAGTGCCAGCGTGCCGTCGGCCAGGGCGTCGTGTCGTGCCTGCGCTCCAGATTGCGAAACTGAAGATGTGCCGCCCGCGTGCTTCGCCACACCGGCATGCCGTGCCGCGCCTGCATTCCAGAGTGGCGAAAATGTGCAGCCCGCGTGCCTGGCGCACCGTGCTGTGCCCATGTGCCGTGCCGTGCCTCGCTTTCACACGCAGCGCCCATCAGGACGCGTGGCCGTTCAGGGTCCCGCTGGCGGTGTTATGCTGTTTCGGGCCTTCTGTCGCCAGGGTGTACAGTCGGGGCGTTGACCTAAGGAACCCTAAATAAGGAACGAGGCCCCTTTCTCCCATAAGTTGAACTTCGATTTCCCATGGGAAACCTCAGGAGACCCGAAGGCACACTGCAGAACAGGCAAGGAACACCGAGCCCCTCCCCAACGAAAAGGGCTCCTTCTCCAGGGCCCCGACTGCAATGCTTGGCGTCGTCCTCGGAGGAACCGTGCGGAGCACCAAGGTGCTCCGCACGGTGGACGAGGCCGAGGAGCCCCAGGCCACGGCCCGGGCGGCCGGGGCGGCCTGCCCGCCGTGGGCGGCGGCCCTCCTCCAGAAGAGGGCAGGGAGGAGGAGCAGGAGGAGGAGCAACAGGAGGAGGGGGAGGAGGAGGAGGAGGAGGAGGAGGAGGAGGAGGAGGAGGAGGAGGAGGAGGAGGAACGTGCGTTCTCAAGCGCCCGCCGCTTGTTCGCCAGCGCTCCGACCACCAGTCGAGGTGCACGCGCGTCCGAGGACCAGGCTCAGAGGACCGCTGCGCGGCTGCCCAGAGAAAGTGCCGGCCGGGGGGGGCCCGCGAGCGGCAGCTCTTCTGCCAGGGCGGCCCCCCCGGCCTTCCTAGAAGAGAAGGAACTGCTATGATCACGTCGGGCCTGTCCCTCTACAGGGGGGTTATTCAAACATAATCAAGATAACAAATGGGGACCATTGATTCGTATTTTGGGGTGTCCTTTGCGTATGTTTTGGGGTATCTCTTTTTTTCGTCCCAAACCCCCCCCTGTATGGGGGACAGGCCCGACCTAAAATGCGATGAAACCGTGCGATCCTGGCCAGGCCCTGGGCCAGTGCATGCGTGAGCCGGGCTTGGCCCGGGACGCGTGCACGGCGCCCCTGTGCCCAGAAGGGGGGGCACGATTGAAAGGGCCCAAGGACACACAAATAGATACACACAAATACCCATATTCCCCACATTTTCTTACTCATATCTTCTGGGTTTTTGTCTCCCCCCCCACTTCCTATATTTTCCCATATGTTCCTGGGAGTGGACGCTCAATTGTGTCTGTGTGTTTGTTCCCCTCCTGAACGGTATGGGGGGGACCGGCTGAGGGGGGGGGCGGGGGAACATTGGCCTGGAATCGTCAGTGCGCCGCCGACAGATTGGCGATGTGGCCCCGTGGCGAACCCGCACGTGCCCGGGCAGGGCGTGGGGGAGTCGGACCCTACCGGCGATGAGTGGACGATTGGGCGTCGATGCGCTCCACCCGGAGCCTACGGTCGGGAACTCTGGGGTAGCGTGTCACCGCGGCGGCCCCGGCGACACGCGACACGCTATACCTTGCAAGCAGACAGCGTGTCACTCCGCTCCGTGGGGCGGGAGGCTCGCAGAGGCTCGAGACACTGGCGCTTGGACATGGGGACCTGGATAGCGTGTCGCGCCGAAGCGCGGTGGGTCAGAACCAGCGGAGCGATGCGCTATCCAAAAGCTCCCGGCCCTACAGTCGGACCCAGGCCAGAAGAACATCCGTCAAGAACATGAGACCCTCCGCCAGTCAAAACACACAGAACATCCAAGGGTACCCTCCCCAGGATGCACAAGAGCATCCAACAAGCACGAAGAACATTAGGGTACACTCCCCGAGCCGACCTCGATCTTATACCTTGTTGGTCCGATTGTGTCCAAAAGTTCCCGACCGTATCCCCCTCTGACGTTGGCCCTGGAGGAGGAGGAGGAGAACCAGGAGGAGGAGGAGGAGGAGGAGGAAGAGGAGGCCTCCCTGACGTTGACCCTGGAGGACGGGCCCAGCCAGGATCGGCGTCGTGCTGCGCGGTCCTCGACGCCCGACGTCTGCGGGCCGGCGAGGCCCTGCCCCCTCAGTGGAGGAACAGAAGGCTGCGTAAAACAGAAACTTTCAGAGGTCCGCGTGGATGTCCTGGATCTGTTGGAGGCCTGAAAATTGGCACCAACACCAATACAAGTTTTCAACATGTCGCAACATATCTGAGCAGATCTAGCAGTTTCCTGCCTCCTCGCCAGGTTTTCACAATGCACTCTCGATTGCCTGCGAGTCGGTTCGGATGCTTGGCTTTTGCTTGCTTGCTTGCTTGCTTGCTTGCTTGCTTCCAACACAAAGGGGTTTGCCACAACTGGGGGAAGATGGCCCCGAACGCTGGTGCTGGTGGCAATCTCTTTCGGCCACCCCGGAAGCCCCAATACTGCCACCATCGTCGAGACCGGGATCGTTTTCCCACGGTGCCGGCAGACCACAGATATTGGTGCTGGAGGAGGAGGAGGAGGAGGGAGGAGGGAGGAGGGAGGAGGAGGAGGAGGAGGAGGAGAGGAGGAGGAGGAGGAGGAGGAGGAGGGGGAGGAGGATCCCAAGGAATCCAGGCCTCCGAGTCTGCGCTGGCCCCCCCTCCCTGGCGCGCGGAGCGCGCCGGGGGCGGCGCCCGAGGCACCGCAGGCGGAGCCCAGGCGGCGGTCCAGGAGGGGGACGAGGAAGAGGAGGGGGAGGAGGAGGAAGAAGAGGAGGGGAAGGAGGAGGTGGAGGAGGAGGAGGAGGGAGGAGGAGGGAGGAGAAGGTGGAGGACGAGGTGGAGGAGGTGGAGGAGGGGAAAAGGAAGAGGAGGAGAGGAGGAGGAGGAGGAGGAGGAGGAGGAGGAGGAGGTGGAGGAGAAGGTGGAGGACGAGGTGGAGGAAGATGAAAAGGAAGAGGAGGAGGAGGAGGGGAGGAGGAGGAGGAGGAGGAGGAGGAGGTGGAGGAGAAGGTGGAGGAGGAGGGAGGAGGAGGTGGAGGAGGAGGAGGAGGAGGAGGAGGGAGGAGGGAGGAGGAGGAGGAGGAGGAGGAGGAGGAGGAGGAGGAGGGGGAGGAGGATCCCAAGGAATCCTGGCGGAGCTCCGCACGCTTCGAGGCTCGCGTGTGCTCTGCCTGGCTCGCTCCTCGTCGGCCTCAGGCCAGCAGCTGCGGCGTCCCGAGCTGCTGCGGCGGGGGCGACCACTCCGCGGCGCACCTCGGGCGGGCGGCAATGCTGGGGGGGGGGACCTGAATTCAAGTCGGGCGTGTCCCCCTGCAGGGGGATTTTGCGCTAAAAATAAGCATACTAAAAAATACCCCCCCCAATGGGCAAAAATAGTCAACCAACTCGTCCCCAGACTATTTTTTCAGTATCTTTGAATATGCCTCCTGCAGAGGGGCAGGCCCGACTGAAACCTGAATTCGACAGAGAGCCCACGGGGGAAGTGAGGAGTGGCGGGCCTTCCCAGAAGGCTCGGAAGGCCCCCAGCCTTCTGACATATAGTCGGGCTTGACTGGAGAGGATACGAGAGGACATGAGACCCTTCCGAGGGCTACAGTGCCACAGGGATGTATACATCGGAGGCGTGGGTCGCGAAACACAGGACGCGAGGACACCCTTGATTTGGCAGGGTCGACCTACTCATCCGGGCCGACTGTATGTTCTACGCCTGCCCGAAGACACAGGAAACCTCTCAGAAGTCCAGAGGCCTTCTGAGAAGTCCCGCTGCCTTCTGAGAAGGCCTTCTCATTCTCACTTGCCCCCCTCGCTCGCCGCCGATCAATGGGTGGTGAAGAACAGGGCCCTCAAGGGGGCCCTCAAGGGTCCCCTTAGGGCCCCCTCTGGCTCCAAGAGGGGCCCGGACAGGCCCCTTCAGGGCCCTTTTCTTCACCTCCACTTGGGCGATTCGGGAAACCCCGAACCCAGAAAACGTTGTTCATCTCATTGGGGGGACATGTTTGCACATGCGTTACCTCCGCTGCCTTCCGCCGGCCATCCGTCGGCTTGCGCCGGCGGAGGCGGCCTCGTTCTACTTCCGCCGACGCTCCGCCGCCCTGCTGCCGCCTTCCGCCGCGGAAGAGATGGCAACAGCTTCGACCCTCGAGGGCGAGGCCCTTTTTAGAACGCCCCATGTATTGGATGCTCGTTCTGGGGACCTTCCTGGAGCCACTCGCTCCACTCGTGCGTCGAAGCTAACTGGGGTCGAACAGATCCGTTAGGTGGGATCCAGGAAGGTCCCCGAAACGAGCATCGAACATGTAAGCCCCCCCCATGTAGCGCCCGCCCAGGCACCCCGAGCTCGGGGTCAGCGGGGCCTCGTCGGGCCGCACGGCGGCGGACGACTTCGACCCCGCGGGCGAGCGCGGCGCGCCCGCGGCGCCCGCCGCCCGCGCGGCGTCGCTGGCGTGCCAGGCGGCCAGCAGCCCCAGGAGGCGGACGCTTGGGGGCCACCGTGCCGCGTGCGGGTGCCGCCCCCGGACCCCCTCGAGCGGCTTTTTGGGTACTTTCGGCCTCCGAGGGGGGGGATGCGACGGCGCTTCTCGGGCCTGAATGCTGGTCCTTCGCGATCGGGGATGAGGAGGAGGAGGAGGAGGAGGAGGAGGAGAGGGAGGAGGAGGAGGAGGAGGAGGAGGAGGAGGAGGAGGAGGAGGAGGAGGAGGAGGAGGGGGAGGAGGAGAGGAGAGGAGGAGGAGGAGGAGGAGGAGGAGGAGGAGGAGGAGGGGGAGGAGGAAGAGGAGGAGGAGGAGGAGGAGGAGGAGGAGGAAGAGGAGGAGGAGGATGAGGAGGGTGAGGCTCCGGGGGCCCCTACCGGGCCGCGGGACCGTGGAAAACCGACTCTCGGGAGGGCAAGCTGGCTCCGGGGAAGGGGCCGAGAGACCTCGCGGGGCCCACGCCCGGGCCAGAAAACTCGCGACGTCGGGGGCCCGGGCCCTCCAGGCCCGGGCGCGGCGACCTCTCTTTCGCGCCGGGCGCTGCCGCCCAGTTCTGGGGCGAAGCCAGCCCTGACCTTCCAGAGAGCTTATTTTTAGCACTGGAGACCTAAAAACTTAAAAAAGTAAACGAAACAGCCTAGAACCAAGACGTAGAATAGCTCTGGGGTAGGTTTTTTGGTCGGATGCTATTTTTTAGCCCTCCTGGAAGGTCAGGGAGGGCGAGGACCAAATCGGGTGAGGATCAATCGAGAATCTCTCGGGTCCGGCGGATCCGGACGATGTCTCCGGCGCCGCGGCCTCCTCAGAGCGTTCGGGAGCGCTCTGAGAGCGCTCTGGAACTCTCTGGAACGGATTTGTCCTCGTCCTGGCCCCGTCCGAGCCCTCCAGCCCTGAGACTCGGGCGTGGCGATTTTTTCGCGCAGGGCGTTTTTCGCCGCCCAATTTCGCCCAGACGTGTTCCGTTACGAAATTTCAGGGCGGATTGTCTTTGGCCGTTTTCGACCTCTGGGGCCCCTTACAGGGCCCCAGTGCCGCCTAATAACGGCCCATGATGAAACATCTTGTCCTGGGGAAAGCGTCAGGACTTCCAGGGAGCGCTGTTCGGAAAAAGCAAAACATCACAAATCTGACTTGAACTTCTGGCGTGCTCTGTCGCACAAAAAAACGATCTTGCATTTTTTCCGGCCCCGGGACATCCATTCGGCTCTACGAATTCCGCAAAAAGATGGGCTAAGGTGCGGGCCGTGATTTTTCGTGATGTTGAATTCTATTTGTTCTGCAACGTCTCGGATCTCAGGGAGGAGGCGAACGAAAGAAAGGGAGGGGCGAGGAGGCGGGGATCACACACCTGCATACGGCATGGGGCCGCCCAGATGTTGAGGCTCGTGAAGAAGACGGCCAACACGTGGTAGGCCACCAGCACCCCGGTGCTGCCTGCGTGGTCGACAAGCTTGTGGTACTGGGAGGAGGTGAGCGACAATATCCACAGTATGGTGGCTGGCACTCGACCCACCGCGAATGCGAGGTACGTCAAAAACCAGTGCAACTGCACGGCCCCCGGCCTCAGAAGCCAAGCCGGAGGGGGGTCCGTTGCCACAGCTATCTCCCGCCTTAGCATGAACACCACGGGCATCTCGAAGATCAGGCCCTGCACCATGACTCCCCCCAGCAGCCCAGTGGCGAGCGAGAAAATGTAGGCGAACAGCGTGACGGTGTGGTGGATGAAATCCATCAGCCCCCTTGTGGGCGCCCAGGCTTCGGCATCCTTGCGGGACTGCTGTCTTGCTGGCGCCTCCTCTTTCCCGTCGCCCCGTCTCTTGCCTGCCGTGTGCTCTCCAGCCCTCTTCTCTCTTGCGAGGCGGGTGCTCATCCATATCCGCTGCCCGTGGAGCCGTCGCCCTGGGATCCCAGCGGGCGGCGTCATCTCCGCATCAGCCGCCTCCCGGCCAGGAAGATCGGCCCCCCAGGTGGCGGATATGGATCACTCCCAGCCTCGGCTCCCTGCTGCCCGCGCACGGGTCCGCGGCGCGAAGCCACGCACCGGGGGGGGGGGCCCCTTAGACCCAAAGCCGCTCTGGGATGCTCCATGCTTCCCGTGTGCCGCCGCGCCGATCGCTCTCGTCGCGCACAAGTGGACGACGCCGACACCACGGCAAACCCATTGCAAACCCTGCGTCCCGCGCCCCAAGTAGGCGAAGCTGGCACCGCGGTGAAACCCACGGTGAGCCAACCGCGCCCGAGGCGGCGACAAGCCCTGGTGGCCGCGGCTCCCCAAGAAGTAAGGCCGCGCGTCGGAACAAACGGCGCGGCGAAATATGGGGCGCCACCAGACAGACCAGAGGCCCCCTAAGAAGTCTCCAAGACGGCCACAGGATGCCACAGAGAGGGCCCCTGAGAGTGCAGCCAGGTATTGATCAAGCATGCCTCTAAGATGGGCCAAGGATGCACACTTAAATGCAAGAACTGCTATCAACCGCACTTCGGTTTCGCTTTACGCTGTTCTAGGTGTGGGAACATTGCGCCACATGCTCAAACACATAACGAAGATGACAACATACAATTCTTGTCCGGTTTGGGGATTCGACTCGGGCCGGAACTCGTCAAAGCTGTCTCCAGACGTTCGCGATTAGGTTTGGATCGTGTAGGAACTTGGCAATTTGGCTTCGGTACTTGGCTTCGCGCTTCACGGCTCGTTGTTCAGCTTCCGCAGGCTCCGACGACGATCCCAACCAATGCAAGTTGCAAATGCCGTGCGACAGAAACGCAACAAGCATCAGAAACACGTGTGCTTTGTGTGCTTTGGTTGCTTAACTTACGAAGCGTTCAGGACTGGCTACAACCGCAAACTCAGACGCTCAAATTTAAAGAAACGCTTGAGTTGTACGTCCGGCAGTAACATCTCGCTGCCTTGGATCGAGTGTAGGCTTGGACAAGACAGCTGGACATCGCGCTAAGTCATCGTTTGAAACATACGTCGATGTCCTCGCTCGCCAAGGGCTCATCTTGTTGGTGTTTCTCGCGGTTTTCTTCTGCTCATCAACTCCCCCTTTTTACATATGTTGTTTGCTTCCTTCATTTCATTATCCCGCTCATCCTGCTGCTCATGTAGTGATGCCTGCTCTCTTCACAGCATGCTTTTCGGTCAGCCCGCTGAGAAGGGGGAAAACACCAACAAAGATTTGACGGTGTCGAAAATCCTGGAACAATCACCGTGGAGTTTCCCGGTTGTTGTCTTGAAAGCGTGGTTCACCGCATTCTGCTGGCGGTTGAGCTGCAGAAACAAACCACACTTGCACCTTACGTGACCGTCCTGAGGGAACCACAGACTGTCCAATCCGCGTTTCAAATGAGATTCAATGCAGCTGTTGATTGCTGTGTTAGCGTTTCAAAATACATGTGAGGAACCACTTCAACTACCACGGCCACTGAAAACAACCGACGCCCTGTTGGGTCGGCGTTTCGGGATACAAGCAAACACAATCGAAATTACGTGTCCAATCCACTGCGATGCCAAGGTATGTTGTCCGAGTCTTTGCCCGACCATGGCTATGAATTGGCACCAGGTCAGCATAACCAGGACCAGCACAGAATTAGCATAATGGGCTGCCACAGCGGAGCCACAACGGAAGCACGATAGAGATAGCACGTCCTCGACAGTAGCCTCTCCGCGCAAGGATTTGTTTTGGTTTCCTGTTGACCCAATGAGGAGGGGGGCACAAGCGCAATAGAGCCCATTGCTTCGGTTCGGTCACCCTGAAACACGCACGGTCGACCTCGCGTTTCGGGTGCTCTATAGGTGCGCTGTTCAGCGTTTTCCGCTGCCATCTGTGGCACACCCTCAAAACATGACTTGCACGGCCGTCCATCGGGAAAACGACGCATGCGCTGTTCGGTTTGCAGGGTTCTGTTCCAGCGTACCGCGGAATACGTATATACTGTTTCATAACTGCTTGTCTGTCCCCTGCTTTGCTGTCAAGAAACCCGTATGCCGCCTCAAGAAGGTCCCTGAAGTCTCCAATCTTGCCCGAGACGGCTCCCAATGCAGCTCCAAAGGGCCCCACGATACCGTCCACAGCGCCCAGGATGGCTCAATGAGGAGGATGGCTCAACGAAGCTCAGCATGCTTAGCCCCAAACTGCCCCCAGGATGGGCCTAGAGGCCCCAACAGCGCCCCAACGTTGCCAAAGGTGACCTAACAGTATCCTAAGATGCCCAGGATACCAGATGCCCCCGACAGGCCCCAAGAAGGCTCCAACGCTGCCCCACATAGCAACAGTACTGCTCAACCTGGGGGGCTGTCGGCAGAGGGCGCAGCCATTCATATACATAACGAGCATGACTGTGTTTGGTGTGCAGCACAGGTTCAATGGGAACAGGGCCATCCCGTCGCCGCCTTCCTGCGTCAGACCCTGGCCGAGAAAATTACGGGTCTCGCAGTCCTCCCAAATGTTGATTGCCCAGTGGGCCACGGCCATGCAGAACAGGACCTGGTGAGCGGGGCCGTAGTTCACCAGGAGCTCAAACATATGGTCCGCTGCAGCAAAGCTGGGGGCCAAAAGGACCACACCTGCCAACGCGGCGGCGACGCAGTAAACTTGCATTCGTCGCAATTTCCTCAGATAGAAAGACCTGTCGTCGAGAGGCTCTTCTGCGGACGTGGAGCCAGCAACCCAGCCCAAGTCCTTTACACTTCCGAGTCTCTTTGCCGTCGACAGGGCGCCCTGGTATAGGCGTGCAGGGCCTCCAACAAGGAGGAACCATAGAAGAGCCCAAACGAGGCAGAGGAACACCAGAGACGGGCCCGTGAACAACCAACCATACTCGGCCGATGGCTGCGTGATGCTCACCATCTGAAATGGGCGCTCGAGCCAACACGCGTACGAAAAGCCATGCGGCGAAAGCTCTTCGCCCCTCCTCCCCGCAATCCCCAAACAAAAGTTTCTTCCTCCTGATTTCCTCCTGCCTCCTCCCTTCTCTCCTCCTCTAGACCCCCGAGGTCATGATTCTTTCATGACGTGGACCTCCAACGGTCTGGAGTGTGTGTGTGTGTGTGTGCGTGCACTTTTGTACTTCGCCCGTCTGTCTGTTCCTTCGTCTGTCTCTATCTCTCACTCTCTCGCTCTTTCGCTCTCTCTCTCTCTCTCTCCCTCCCTGCTGTTCTCAATCTCTGTCCATGTCGCTATAGTTCTCTCTCTATATCTCTCTCCCCCTCTTCCTCTCTCACTCTCTCTTTCTCTCTCTCTCTCTTTGAAGCGTCCGAGATCTGCGCTGTGTGAACTACCCTGGTCATCCTCTTGTCTTTCTCCTTCCGCTCTCTTTTCGGTATCATTTCCTTGCCGTTCATCCTCCTCCGCGGGCTGACGCGCGCCGTGTACGTACTATGATGCGCCTGGGGGCACGGCGTCGCCCCTCAGTGGTGGCAGCGTGAGCCGCGGCCATCACCGCACCAACGAACGCGACGGGGATCTCGTCGTCGCTTGCTGTCCAAGTGGTCTACCCAGCCGCTGTGATCTCCGCCATGCCCTCGTCGAACAGGCTGGTGTCAGGGGGAACGTGCCTGCGCTGCGTCGTTCACGTGCCAGGTGATCAGGAGTCCCAGAAGACGGATGCTGGGAGGCCGCCGCGAAACGCACAAATGTAGTCCTCCTTCCCCTGGGAGAGAAGGGAGGAGCAGTGAGGAAGAGTGAGGAGGAGGAGCGGCAGGGCTGAGGAGCACATCGGTACGTCCAGCGGGGGCCCCCCCAGATGTTGAGGCTCGTGAAGAAGACGGCCATCACGTGGTAGGCCACCAGCACTCCCGAGCTCACGGCGTGGTCGACCAGCTCCTGATACCGGGAGGGGGTGAGCGAGACGATCCACAGGGCAGTGGCGGGCAGCCGCCCCACCGCGAACGCGAGGTACGTGAGACACCAGTGCGCGTGCACGGACCGGGAGCTCAGCAACCACGCTGGGGGGGGGCTCGTGGCCACGGCGATCTCCCGCCTCAGCATGAGCATGACGGGCATCTCGAAGACGAGCCCCTGCACCATGACTCCTCCCAGCAGCCCGGTGGCGAGCGAGAAGATGTAGGCAAACAGCGTGACCGCGTGGTGGACAAAGTACACGGCGAGCATGATCGTGCTCGGTGCGAGGCAGATGTTGAGTGGGAAGAGGGCGCTTCCGCCGCCGCTATCCTGCGTCATGCCCTGGCCCACAAAATCACGAGTCTCCCAATCCTCCCACATGTTGACAGCCCAGTGGCCCACGGCCATGCAGAACAGGATTTGGTGAGCTGCGCCGTAACTCACGAGGAGCTCCCGAACAGGATCCGCTGCAGCAAAGCAGGGGCCCAAGAGTGCCACGCCGGCCAGCGTGGCGGCGACGCAGTAAGCTTGCATTCGCCGCAACTTCCTCAGATAGAAACGCCTGCAGGGAGACCCTTCCGCAGACGTGGGGTCAGCAACACTGCCCAAGTCCTTCACACATCCGAGACTCTTTGCCGTCGACAGGGTACTAGTGTACAGGCGCGCAGGGCCTCCGACAAGGAGGAACCATAGAAGAGCCCAAAGGAGGCAGATGCACACCAACGATGGGCCCGTGAGCAACCAACCATGATCGACTGACGGCTGCGTGATGCTTACCATCTGATAGTGCGCTCGAGCCAAACATGAATACGACGAGGCGTCGTCACGTTGCTTGCAATCGTGATCGCATCCGTGCTGAATTTCGGGGTGGGGGGGCTGCCATACCCCTTCCTTCTACCCAGTGCCTTGACCTGCCGAGCTTTCGTACGAGACTCAATTTCTGGTACAAGAACATGGGTGCTGCCGTGGGTGAGCGGAGTGCGGAAAAGGAGGCTGCTCCTCATCCCTCTAATCCCGCCTCTCGGGCTCCCCCCCGTCCTCCTCGTTCCTCCCTCCCTCCCCCTCCTCCCCACCCTGCTTTTTCTCATACTCTTTCCCTTCATCCTCCCCCCTCTCTTCATGGTCTGGCAACATGCCAACAGCCCCGCAATACTGGCTCGACACGTGGGCAAGGCAAACGGAAGTTGTAGGTGGCGGCTCCTTTCGTTTGAACTAACTATTATATATCGCTTTGACGTTTGTTTCTTTGCTTATTGTCGTAGCTGCGGAGGCAACCTGAAGGCACCACTTCAGCCGAGAGGATTGCGGGCTAGAAATCATATGCACGTCCCAACGCTTTAGAGAGCGGGTAGATGTGAGGAGACGACCTGATGAAAGGGGGGCACTGAGGAATGATGATGATGATGATGATGATGATGATGATGATGATGATGATGATGATGATGATGATGATGATGATGATGATGAGGAGGGGGGAAAGGGAGAAGGAAAGAGAGACGGGAGGAAGAGGGAGACGGAAAGGAGATAGGGAGGACTCGGATACAGCGATGATGAGGGAGGAGGGTGGGGCGGAGGGATAGGAGGATAAGGAGGGGGAGGTAGGAGGAGGAAGAGGATGAGGAGAAGGCAAAGGAAGGACGAGGAGTATGAGGAGGATGGCGATGAGGACGAGGAGGAAGAGGAGGAGGAAGGAGGATGAAGGAGGGGAGGATGAAGAAGAGGCGAGAGGAGGTGGAATAGGGGAATAGGAGGGAGAAGGACGAGAAGGGGAGGATGGAGAGGAGGGGCTGGGAAGAGGGCTGAGGTAGGGCCGAGGACGCCTTGGCGGCCGCTTCGGGGGAACGCCCTCGCATGCGCGGCCGATCGGCCAATCGCCCGAGCTCGCCACACCGGTCGATCGAGACCGCTCGGGGCCGGGTTGCAGCTGTGAGTCCGCGCCAACGTCACTGGCGCTCCCTCTTTTCGGCGATCTACTGACTCGGGTCAATCCAGACCCGGGTCGGTCGGGCGTTGCAGAATCCTGCAAAATCCTGCAGGATCCTGCGCCCAGACCCAGGTCAGTGCGCCCCTGGCCCCGCAGGATCCTGCAAGATCTGGCTCTCTGACTGACCCCCGTTTGCCTTGACCCCCGTCTCTTGAGCCCGGATCTCTGCGCACGGGCTCGACGCCCGGCTCTGGCGCATCACTGGTCGCAAGGTGCTAGCGATGTCCGAACGTTTGACGCGGAAGTGGCCGAGCGGCCTGGCGACTGGGCTCCATCCGCGCCAAGAGCCCCATTGCAAACGACGTGGCCTCCTCGAGGAACGCCCCGATGCTGTCCCGTAGTAGGTCCTGCACGGTCTCGCACTCGACTCCCTTCGAGCCGCTCGCTGAGGGCCGCCGCGGGGCGATACCACCCTGAAGCTGTCGCTCTGGCAGCGCGCGATTCGCGCCAGACATCCGGCGCACTGTGTACATCTGGGATGACCCCTGATCCACGCGCAGGCCACAGGCCAGAGATGGAATAAAAGAAGAAACAACAACATAACATGAACTGTTGGCGCTCCGCGCGGATTTCTTAGATTCTCGCTGGGCCCCCCTGGCGGCGCCTCCGGCGCGCTCCACGCGCCAGGGAGGGGCGTCCCGCGCAGATCCAAGAAATCCGCGCGGAGCGCCAAATGTTAATGTTCATACAATTTTTTTCTTGTTCGATGGAAAGGTCAACGACGAAAGCTTCGCCAACACGCGGCGGAAGACGACCTGCGGCGCCAGTTACGCTGCGGCAGCACGTCGGCATCGCGGGGCGATGCGGGGAGCGACCCCCTGCGAATCCGCCAAATGACCCCCCAAAGTGGCGGATTTCGGAAACCCTGAACCCTTCCGCTACCTTCCGCCGCCCTTCTGCCGGCTTCCGCCGGCGGAGGTGGCCTCGTTTTACTTCCGCCGATCCTCCGCCGCCTTCTGCCGAGGAAGAGATGAGAGCTCCTTCGACCCTCAAAGGCAAGGCACTCTTGGGAACGCCGCAAGTGTCCGTGAGTGCCTCATTCAGTACGGGCCATCGAGGGCGAGCAGGTTGCGCGAGGGCCCCCCACGAGGAAATGATGCTTCAACGGTGAAGGCGCGCAGCGACGCACGGAACCGTCGACACAGTAGCAGCGCTCGAACTCCCGCAACCAGCCTGATCACTTTCTGTGTGCCCAGTCCGAGGTGGGTGCAAATACCGCCACGATGGGGGTGGGCGAATCGATGCCCTCCTCCTCCTCCTCCTCCTCCTCCTCCTCCTCCTCCTCCTCTTCTATCCTCCTCCTGCTCCTGCTCCTCCTTCTCCTCCTCCTCCTTCTTCTCCTCCTCCTCCTCCTCCTCCTCCTCCTCCTCCTCCTCTTCCATCCTCCCTAACCACGCAGAAAAAACGTGAGGCCACGCTGAGCAACTTATCAAAGTAGCACTGGCGCGCCACTGGGAGGGGAAGGAGCAGTGCTCAGTCGCCAATTCTAGCCATGGCATGGACGTCTCGAGTGTGTATCTGTATCGCTTGCGCTCAAACTGCTGCAGACGAGGAGAAGGGGAGGAGGGGGGAGAGGACAACGAACAGGGAAGCTTGGAGGAGGAGGGGAGGAGGTCCACACTTCCCTGCGCCTGGAAAATAAATCCCCAAGTGCTTGATGATTTTCCCAAACCGACTTGCGGGGATCAAGCCAGATAGATCGAGGTAAATCTAGTGTTCGCCAGCTTTGACCCCAAGTGGTGCGTTATTGCTCTGGAGCTGAAAGCTATTCGGTGTAAGCTACGTGGTGAAAGCTATGTGGTATGAGCTGATGAGGTGGAAACTTTGCGGTGCAAGCCATGAGGCGGCAGCGAAGCGGCAACGGGTGGCAACAAGCCACCAGGGCGAATCCGCGTCACACCCACATCGCACACGAGACGGCAACGACGCGGCATCGAGGCGGCATCGGACGTCGGACATCGGCCGTCGGACATCGGCCTGCATCCAACTTCACCGCGAGGGTGCGGCAGGGCGCGGCCGAACCACCAACAACTGCCAACAAACGT